CCCCCCAAAAAAAAATTCCAGCTCATTGATATGTATACATACATACATATATCTTTTTTCAGTTCACTCACCATGGTTTCTGTCAAAGATGGGGTAAACAGTGTCGGCTCACTCGAAGGTCGTTTTAGAATTCCCCTGAGCGGAACGTGAGCGCTGGAATGGATAGCTATGAGCCTCGGGGTCAGGCCAGGGGTCATGCCGTGAGGTAAAGACATGGAGGTGACCAGCTCTCTACTGTTGGTAGCCACAGACACAGTAGGGGTAGTGATCGCCGCCATGCATGAAGGTGTTACGAATCCTGGCGTCACGCCCAGGGACAGCATCTCTGCCGACTTGTTCTGTCGGAACCTGAGGTGGGAGTTGGGTCAGGGTTAACTCTGTTTGCCCATACATTTCCTGGAACATGTACATTTTGTAAATGGCTGTATCGGCCAGCGTCTGTGGAGCAGCGGTTGGGCGCTTCGATGTAGCATACACGCAGGAGACCTTAGACTTATATGGATTCCCGAGCGGAACGAATTTTTATCAAGTATATCGATCTTTCGGCTTGAAGTTTTGTATACCCCGCACCCCAGGTTGACTCTGATAGGCAGGGCAGAAGCCCGCCTCCTAAATGATATAAATTGTGTCAGTTCGGGTGTAAAACACCTGCATTAAAAAACCCAACAAAACACTTTTTAAAAACGAATGTTTCATTGCTTGGCTGTTTCTGCTTTGAGTGAAAAGAATGCGCAGTCTTATACTTATTGATGTACTCGTATTTACTCGTTTGAACAAAGGACAAGCTGCATCTCTAGTCCCAGTTTCTTTTCTTTTTTTTTACAAAAATTTTTTTGGCTTATTTTTTGGTAAGGCAAATCACAATTAGCTTCATTGTTCTAGTCAAACGATCATTTGCATCTAGTTTGTTTCTTCGCCAGGAACACAGAAATAATCATCTGACTTAGAGATGACCCCCCCCCCCTCAAGACAGACATGTAAAAACCCCAGAGGAATATCCAGTGGCGGCTCGTGGTTCATAGAACTGACCGGCCGTCATTCACGTTGACTATTTCTCCCTCCCCCACCCCCTTCCTTCACAAAACACACACACACACACACACACACACACACACACACACACACACACACACACACACACTCTCTCTCTCTCTCTCTCTTCTTATTTTGTACCCTTACTTTTGCCATCCCCACCCCCTCCCCCACTCACACACACACGCACACACACCATGGTAAACATTGTAATATAATATGAAAGAGCTAAAATATGCGGTAGTGTCAAGAAAAAATATTATGAATAACGTTTGATGGAAGTTACTGAGAATAATAGAAACTGTCGTCTGCTTTCATTTCTACTTTCTGCCCCCATCCCTCACCTCCTTTGCTCCCTCCTCTGGGCTCCTGACTCTTTCTGCAGCCCCTTTCTACTGCTACTCCTTGGCTCCTCCTTACTGCTGTCTTTCTGCCACACCCCTGATCTTCTGGTAGGAAACATCTACACCTAGCCTTCTCGGACAAGGGCCAAAAATCTCGGAGGGCCCATGTGCAAGTTGCGCACATTAAAGATCCCTTGGTGGTCTAAAATCGATAAGAGTAGGCTTCGGTCGCCACCCGAGCAAAATTCAAAATTTCTTACCAACTGAAAATATTAGGTGTGTCCCGCGCGCTCATAAGACCCTATGCAGTTGCGAGCGCCGTAAAACACTTTACAAAAACAAGCAAAGAAACTGACTTGATCGGCACAGAACAAGAAACACTAATTGGCTAGAAAACAAACAGAAAGTGAGAGGCAATAAACTGCTGGTCCTGGCCTCCAATACTTTACTCGTACTTTCTGCATCCCAACACAAAATATCGACGTGCACTGGACCCGTTACTAGATATCTATATGTAATAAGAACTGTCCTGTATGATGACAAAAAGTCAATTGATACTGTACCAGTGACGCTGTCTCAAGCAAATCAAGTCTACAATCAGATACTATATAAAGCTGGACAAAGTTAGCACACAACAGTTTCCGATCATTATATCATCAAATGTTCTTAATCGCACTTTTCAGTTCTCAAAACAGGCCCAGACTCTGACAGCCGAGTGCCTATTGCTCCTCGTTATAATTCTCCTTATATATCTTCACTAGACGATTCCTCCTTTCGCTGACCAGACTCCTATGGGCCAGGTAAGTTATTCGTGGGGAGAAAACGATGAGTAAATGCCAAACAGGAACTATAGGTGGTTAAAAAGTCAATAAACAAAGCAAAAAAAATAGTACCTAGCTGACAATAAATGTTCTGATAGTAGTTAGAGAAAGGCTAAATGATAAATACATGTTTTGCTGATAAAATAATACACGTGTCTGTGCTGCTCAAGACAGTCTCATTCTTAATTTTGTAAGCTACAAAGAGGCTAATTTGGCAATTAAGGGATGCCCTATTCGCTCTCAGGGCAGTCGATGGAATTGTCCAGGGGACTGGAGTCATCGCTAAGCCTAAGTTTGGTTTGGCCTCGTACGTAGTACGAAGTTCCGCGACATGACGGCCTGATGGAAGACGATTTAAAGTTACTAGCCGGCGCGATAAATAAACATATAGGAATGAGGCTCTGTCGCGACAAAACAGCAGCGAATCCCACTTCTCTATTTGAGAGCCTTCAAATCGGAAAGGTGCTTTTGAATGTTGACATATGTTTGTTTGGATATACTTAAAACTGAATGTAAATTATCATCAGCTATAAATCTCTTGTCAACAGTACAGCTGACAAAAATTTGACCGGCACCGCCGTCTTGCCCAGTTAACAAATCGCCACTGGGAATATCACTCCTCTGGGAATGGCCTAAAGACAACTTCAGCCATAGTGGGCTCCTTAACTCCACCCCCACTGCAAATTTTAGTAGGAACATGCCACTTGGCACACACGTACCTTGAACAAAACTAAGAATTTTGATAAACGGACATAAGCTCTATCTGCATAATTTCACTCTAATTTGCATAAATTAAAAATGGACGCCATTGAAAAATCAAGCAAAATGAAAATAACTCTAAATTATCATACACATCTTCGATTTTCATGAAAATGGTGTCAAAATATATGTTTTTGTGGATGCCTTAACCATTGAAATCAAAATTTTGGATGTAGAAGGTCCGTTTTTTATTTATTCAATATGTTAGTCACATGATGTGATTATGAAGTATATATATTTTGCATATTTCAAATTGACAAGCTTGGACCTCCGCTTTCCCTAGTCACCCCATTGATGGTGCTTCCCCTTTTTAGGGAATCAGCTCACAGTCCAATGATGGTATTCCATGGGATGAACATTGTTGCTGCTGTTACAAAGCAACTGAATTCTGGACAGACCCCGGTCATGGTTGCTGATCAGCCACTCTTTACATTGGCAAAGAAGATTCCGTGGAAATTTTCAGATGTCTTAGGAGAGGACAAGTTTGTGGTGATGCTTGGGGCACTGCACATGGAGAAAATGCTGTTTGAACGACCTAGGGGAGTGGCTGGAAGGGAGTGGATGGACATCACGTCTGTCAGTCAGTGGTGTGGCTTCAACTTCAAGTGGAGTTGCTGATTCTATGATGTTGGTGACACATGTGACCCGCACTCGCTACATGCACCAAGTCACCGCTCTTGCTTTGTATAGTTTACTGAGACAAGCCCATCGTGAATATCTGACAACAACTATTGAAGATGAGCCATTGGAACTGGATGCTTGGATTAGGTATCAGCGAGACCGAGAATCGCAATTCTTGTACTGGCACCAGACTCTTGAGCTGCAGCTGATGGTTCTGTAGTTTGTGAAGTTGATTCGGACTGCATCGTTTGACCTGTACTTCGTGACTTTAGAACATCTCATGCCATGGGTGTATGCTCTTGATCACAAACACTATGTCCGCAATCTACCCATTCATCTACGAGATATGTGTGGCCTTCGAGAAATACATCCAACAGTTCATAAAGAGTTCATGAAGGGAAAATTCGTAGGACAGAAGACAAGTCGTGCATTTTCTAGCATTGCCTTGGACCAAATTCATGAGCAGCTCATCGATTCTCTGAAGGGTGATGGAGGAATAATTGGACTGACTGAGGATCCTGTAGCCCTTGAAAGATTTATGATTACTGGACCAGAACTTGCTCGCATCATTGAGGAATTCGAAAACACACCTCAAAACAGTCTCAGGAAGCACCATGAACAGTATCCTAAATGTCGAGAGATTTTCAGAGAAGATGGGAATGGCTTAATCAGTGCATTCTCTGGTGTGGGAAGTCCTTTCCTTGAAGTATCTGGGCAATTGATTTCTCTTGACAGGTCCAGAATCATGACAGGTGATGTTATGAGCTCTGTGAGAAACATCACAAAAATTGGAAAAGACAAGTATGATACATTCTTTTCAGAAAAGGTTTCATACAGCACATCCCCATGGACCTCCACCTTTCACCTGAATAGATTGTCTCTTTTCGGTGTAAAAGCTCAACAACGTAAAGAAAAATCCGACTTTGCTTCCATGAAGGAAGAACGAACCCAGTTTATTTAAATGATGCTCTCTGGGCACACAGGAAGGGACATTGGTGAAGAAATGTTTGCACATGAGAACCCTACATTACCACCATCTCTCAGTTCCCAGGGTCAGATGCACAAAGGAACAAAATCTGAAATTCTCAAGTGCCTCGAAGGTGATATTGAGATTCTACTTCTGATACTTCCCCTAATTCTGATGTTGTTATTCTAGATGGAGCCTTCATCGTGCAATCACTGAGACTTGGTACAGCATCAACATTTCAGGATTATGCAGACCAGGTGTTTCTTCCTTATTGTGATGTCATGGCTAAAGGGTGTGTCGTGGGATGCCTACAAACACGATAGTCTCAAATCCAGCACTCGGGAAACCAGAGGCAGTGACATGCGGTGTCGAGTGACATCATCAACCAAAGTAGCGAGTAACTGGCAAGGATTTTTACGTGTCGATGAGAACAAAACAGAACTGTTTTCTCTGTTAGCAGAGAAAATGCAAGAGATGTACACAGAGTGCAAACAAGTTGTTACAACCTTCGGAGAGAATGTTCTCACTTCACCTGTTCGCTCAAGTACTCGCGCTTTAACACCTTGTATTCACGAGGAAGCTGATTCAATTATTTTTTCCATGTTGCAGATGCGACACATGAAGGATTTAAACACATCACCATTCGTGCTAGTGACAGTGATGTAGTGATAATAGCTGTGTCCTGTTTCCAAGATCTCAACCTTGATGAGCTCTGGATAGCCTTTGGATCCGGCAAATCATACAGACATATCCCAGTTCACCAGATTGCTATGTAGTTGAGACCATCCAAGTCTCGAGCTCTTCTAGCATTTCATTCTCTGACCGGCTGTGACACCACCTCAGCATTTCAAGGAAAAGGCAAGAGAACAGAATGGGCTGTTTGGCAGGAATTCCCAGAGCTCACTGCAACACTTCGGCGCCTGTAAACATTCCCAAGTAGAATCGATGATGGTGTCATGTCCTAAGTAGAGACATTCATCGTTCGCCTTTACGACAGGTCCTTGGACATCACATCAGTCAATGCAGCACGCATGGGATTGTTCTACAACAAAAGCAGGCATTTTGAGAACTTGCCACTTACAAAGGATGCATTGCTACAACTCACATTACACGCAGCATATCAGGCAGGCCACAGCTGGGGCCAAGCCCTCATCTGTTCTCCAACCTTGCCTGACTCATATGAATGGGGATGGGTCATGACAAATGACAAGTGGTTACCTCGATGGACAACACTTGCCCCTATTACAAAGAACCACAAATGCCTTGTGACATGTCAGTGCAAGAAAGTGTGCAAGCCTCCAAGCAAATGTTGCAAAGCTGGTGTGAAATGCAGTACTCTCTGTGCATGCAGGGGAGCTTGTTTCAATCAATGAAAATAATGTGGACATATCAGTCAGTGAACATAACGCATTGGTTATTGAAAGAATAGGCAAAATATGGGTGAACCTGGCCTGCTAAAGGGATTTTAAATTACAAAAACAAAATCACATGTGTAGTCCTAGTATCTTCCCAAAATTATGGTTGTGCATAATTTTTTTTAATTTTTCAAGGCGTCCATTTTTAATGTATGCAAATTAAGAATCAATTTGACCTTTTATGATAATTCTTTGGATGTCACTGAGTTTCTCAGCCAGAACTTACTATGAAACAACACATTTATATTTCTATCATTCTTCTGTCAAAAGTTATATATTCGGTTCGTATTTTCATTATACTTCAGTGGCGGCCATTTTTCATTTATGCAGGTTAAGAGTGAATTTGACCTTTTATTATAACTTTGATGGTGTCATTGAGTTTGCCAGCCATATATTTATATGAAACAACACCAAAATTAATGTTCTGCCATTTGCCTGTCAAAAGTTATATCCAGTTATCATTTTCATTATATTTCAGTGGCGGCCATTTTAATTTATGCAAATTAGGAGTGAATTTGACCTTTTATTATAACTTTGATGGTGTCATTGAGTTTGTCAGCCATATAGGCCTATTTATTTGAAACAACACCAACATTAATGTTCTACCATGTGTCTGTCAAAAGTTATATCCAGTTATCATTTTCATTATATTTCAGTGGCGGCCATTTTTAATTTATGCAAATGAGGGTCTGAAAATGCTTGTGGACCTTGTGTACCTTGTGTCCGTTTCTAATTTTCCAATGATATGGTGTAAGGTACTTACATGCCAAGTGGTTCCTTCCTACTAAAGTTTGCAGTGGGTAATGGGACTGCTGGCCTAAGTCAGCCCACTACCAGTAGCACAGCCCAAAAGACTAAAGATAGTCTAACTTTACCAACATTGAGTGCAGGAGGTGGGGTTCGACCTGCCAGTTAGGGGCAATCGGGGCTGAGAGGGGCTCACGTTTCAGCAGAAAGACATAAACACTATATAAATTCTCCTAATAGGAAATAAAACTCAAACGAGCGTGCGACGGCGAGAAGCCTTACTGTCACATCACAGCCACAGATACTCTCGTCTCAGCTACCATACAAACCTGTGGAAAGTCCTGATATTGTTCAAAAGTGCCTTTTTCTATGAAAACTATTTATTGAAAATAATATAGGAATTTGAAACAGTGACAGCTGGTTATGTCACGTGTTAGGGGAAATAACATGGCAAACAGAAACAAGACTTTCTAACCGAAAGCGCAAACTTTTTCTATGCAGGAGACCATACTACATTCAAATGTACAGAATTGATACTTACTGATTTTCTCAATTTAGAGTATCGGTGAGTTAGTGCAAATTTGCCTCTCTTTGTCTTTTTTCTTTAGGATCAAATGCTTTATCTTCAAAATATCTTGTGACAGAAGAGCGTCAAAAACACGCAAAAACAAAAAAAAACAGCAGCAACAGCAGCAACAACAACAACAGCAGCAAAATAGTCTTTATCATTTCTGTTTGGAAGTAAGTTTTCCGTGTCTCCAATAAACCTCTTTGTCAAAAGCAACTTTACAGCAATAACAAGGCAACGTAAAATTCATACCAAACAAAACCATGCTGTCCCCCCCCCCACCTCATTTTGCGAACCGACCTGAGTCCCATGTGCCCATGTCGCTCGTCCAGGGCGTCCTTTGAGCCGTGGCGACTTCTCTGAGGTAGTTTCTCCAGTCTCTCTATCAGAGCCGCCGTGTCCAACATCCGGGGGTGCTTGGGATGCCGAAGAGCCTGCAAAACAATCAAACGAACAAATAAACAAACAAACAAACAAACAAAATACACAAAACAAACAAACAAACAAACTAACTAACTAACAAAACAACAAACAAACGGAGACTTCTGGCGGTTTGTTTGGGGAATAATATTTAATAGTTCACCGTCTCGCCAGAAATGGGAACAACTCTTTCCTGGCAGTAGAATGCTACCTATACTTCACAGATTCTCCGGCGAAGAGGTGATATCGTTGTGCCAGTGTTTACTTTCTCTCCCGTCATGCTGATTTGTCCACCGGGGATACAATACAAAATAGTCTCCCTGCCCCCCCC